GGCGAATTTTTGATTTATTGTAGAGATGAGGTCTCGCTAAATTGCCCGGGCTGGTCTGGAACCCGTGGGCTCAGACAGTTCACTCATCTTGGCCTCCCAAAGTGCTGGATTATAGGCTGAGCCACTGACCCCAGCCAGATTTTCCTATTTTTCTTAGTTTTAATTTTTTAATTTTATTTGACAGAGTCTTATTTTGACACCCAGGCTGGAGTGCAGTCGGACCATCATAGGTAGCTCACTGCAGTCTCAAACTCTTGGGCTTAGCTTACTGAGTAGCTGGGGCTACAGATGTGTGCCATCGGGCCTGGCTTTTTTTTTCATGGGGAGGGTGTTTAGAGACAAGGTCTTGCTATATTCCCAGGCTGGTCTCAAACTCCTGGCCTCATACAATTCTCCAGCCTCGGCCTCCCCAAAGACAGGAATTAGAAGTGTGAGCCACCATGCCCAGTCAGCTTTAAATTTTATTGGCATGAAAAAAATCTCCTCATATATGAGTTTATTCTATATTATCTTATATATAATATAGTTTGTCTTCTCAGTTGTATTCCCCTCCTTCATTCGTGTCCTTTTTTCCTAGATTTGAAAAAAAAAATGATTTGTCAATTTTATTCATCTTTCACGATAAACTAAATTTTGCATTGTTGTTTTGTCTTATGCATGATTTTCTGTTTCAATTATTTTTATTCTTACCATAACTGATTCTTCTTTAAAGTTTCCTGTAGTTTTTTTTTTTTTTTTCCTTTTTCTAATGTCTTGAAATGGATATTTATTGTACTAACTTTTAGTCTTTTATTTTCTCTAATGTAAACAGTTAAGGTTAAACATTTCCCTCTTAGTATTTATTACTTTAGCTCCATGTCCCAAATTTTGGTATATAGAATTTTCCTGTTTTTCATTTCTGAATATTTTCTTTATGAGTTTGTACTTAGAAGTTGTTTCTGATTCTAATTTAGTGATTTTTCATATTATATTTTTGGTATTGACTTCCACTTTGATTGTAGTGCTGTAAAATAAATAGAAAGAGGTACTGTTTTTATGTTACTGATCCTTTGAAATTTGTTGAGGCTTACTTTATATAATGAGTTTTTGTATTTGTTCTTCGTTTAACTGAAAGAATGAATATTCTACTGTTGATTCCTACAGTAGTCTGTGTTTGTCTGTTAGTTCCTGTTTATTCATTATATCATTAAGTCTTATTATTTTGCTGATTTCAGTTGTTTATTGCTTCCTTTATTACTGACAAAGGTGTACTATACTATCCCTCTGTGTGGATTTGTCACTTACCCTTATCCCGTCAATTTTTGCTTTATAAATTTCCAGGCCATTATTAGTTATAGCTAAGATTCAAAATGTTTATCTTCCTGGTGAATTGAACTTATTGTTGTTATGTATTGACCTCTGTCCTTTTTTTTCTTTTTTTGAGTTGGAGTTTTACTCTGTTGCCCAGACTGGAGTACCGTGGTACACTCACGGCCACCCCAGCATCCACCTGCTGGGCTCCTGCAATCCTCCTGCCTCAATCTTTCAAGTAGCTGGAACTACAGGTGTGTGCTACCACACTTGGCTAATTTTTTTATTTCTTATTTTTATTTTTTGAGTTGGAGTCTCACTCCATTGCCCAGGCTGGAGTGCAGTGGCACACTCATGGCCACCCCAGCATTGACCTGCTGGACTCTGGCGATCCTTCTGCCTCAGCCTTCCAAGTAGCTGGAATTACAGGTGCGCGCTACCACACCCGGCAAATTTTTTTTTTTTGAGTTGGAGTCTCACTCTGTCGTCCAGACAGCAGTGCAGTGGCTGCTCCCGGCCACCGCAGCCTCGACCTGCTGGGCTCCGGCGATCCTTCTGCCTCAGCCTTCCAGTAGCTGGAACTACAGGCGCGCGCTACCACACCCGGCTAATTTTTGATTTATTGTAGAGATGAGGTCTCGCCAAGTTGCCCAGGCAGGTCTCGAACCCGCGGGCTCAGGCAGTTCAATCACCTCAGCCTCCCAAAGACACGGGATTACAGGCTGAGCCACGGAGCCCGGCTAATTTTTTTTTTTTTTTTTATTGTAGAGGCGAGGTCTTGAACCATCAGGCTCAGGCATTCCACTTGCCTCAGTCTCCCAAAGTGCTGGGATTACAGGCTGAGCCACTGAGCTCAGGCTTTTTTTTTTTTTTTAAATTGTAGAGTCAAGGTCTCGCCAGGCTGGTCTCGAACCCGTGGCTCAGGCAGTCCACTTGCCTCAGCTTCCCAAAGTGCTGGGATTACAGGCTGAGCCACCAAGCCTGGCCGACCTCTATCTTTTGATGTTTTTTTGCCTTAAAATCTGTTTAACTTGCCATTAATGTAGTTAGTACCTTTTTAAAATGTATTTTTTCCTAGTTACCTTTTTTCATTCATTTCATGGTTTTTATATCTTTTGTATCTCACTGAAACTAGTGTGGCTGTTTTATTCCTTGTGTAGTCTTTTGAATAAAGCATATAGTCCATTTGCAAATATTGTATTTATATATTTGAACTTATTTTTACTGTCTTATTCTCTGCTTTTGATTTGTTTCACAGTTCAGCATTTTTCTCTGTTGCTTTTTTTTTTTTTTTTGAGATTGTTTTTTGCCTAGGCTAGAGTTCAGTAGCATCATCGTAATTCTCTGTTCTCCACATTTCAGTCTTCTGAATAGCTGGGATTACAGGCGAGGATCTCACTGTATTATCCAGGCTGGTCTCATGCAGCCTCAAGGAATCCTCCCATCTCAGCCTCCCAAAGTGCTGGAATTATGGATGTGAGCCACTGTGCTCAGCTTTCTGTTGTTTTTGCTGAAGTTCTTCTGTTTGTTTCATTTTTCCTTCTCTGTTGTCTTGAAAACAATGCATTTTTCTCTTGCTTTAGTGGCTACTAAAATGTTAAGCACAAATACTTGCTAGAGTTTAGACTTAATTAAGATATCTGTCCTCCTACCAAACAGTTAAATACCTTAAGCTTGGAGTACTTTGTTCTTAGTAATGTCTCTGAACTTAGCATGTTTTAAAAATTCTACCTTGTTTTTTAAACTCCTCAAGACATAATAATTATTACTATAACTATATTAATTATATTGTCAGTTTGTTTGGAATTATCCCTGATACTTTTATTTGCCTTGCTTTTTATTTCTTCTTGAATTTTGATCTCTCTTAGATCTCTTTCTTTCTTCCAAAAGGAAATTCTTTAAAGTTTTCTTTAATGAGCCTCATCCACTGGAACATCCAGTTTTTCTCTGAAAGTGATGTTATTTTGCTCCAAATCCTGATAGATGTATTTGCTGGCTACTAAATTCTACATTGATAGGTCTTAGCGTTTTCAAAGTATAATGCCATTGTTTTCTAATGTGAATCTAATCTTAGTTTCCTTGATAGTAATCATTCTCTTATTCTCAAGATGCTTTTAAAATCATTTATTTGTTTTTGGTATTTTCTAGTTTCATATCCTATATTTAGGTATGAATTTATTTTTTATTTATTTTTCTTGATATTTAATGTGCTTCTTAAATTTGTGGTTTTGTGTCTTTTCATTAGTTTTGGAAAGTTATTAATAAATAAATCTCTTCAAATATTGCCACTGACCCCATTTTCTGCTTCTTGTCCTTCTGAAAATCTTATTAGACATACTAGGTTTTCTTACTCAGTTGTCTGTATCTCTTTATATTTTTCATCTTCATGATTCTGCTGTTGTTTCTGCTAGTTCTTGATGCTTTGTTTTCCTGTATGTATGTGTGTTTCCAATGAACTGCTTCTTTTTCTTTAAATTTTATCTGTACTAATTTTTTGAGGGTAAGGTGGGTTCCTGCAGAGGGAATTGTTATTAACTTCTTTCAGAGACCATTTCAATTCAGAATCATAATATGTAGAATTTTCAGTTTGTGATGGTGTTGAAGTATTTCTAGTTTATCCTTGCACTAAGGGTATATATGGTTTTCTAGTAGACTCTGCACTTTGGGTAGCTATGGGCTTTGCTTGTATTTGTCCTCTACCAGGAGATCATGAAAATGAATTGTCAAGGTCAGCTGATGGGGCCAATGCCCTCAAGGTGAAAGCCAATTTTATTTTTCCATTCTGGGTTTTATAAGAATTCCTTACTTATATGCTAACTCATAAATTCATTTATGAAGCTATTTGCATATTTTATCTATTATTTTTAGTTGTTTACAGCAGGAGGATCAATAAGGTACTTTATTAGTCATTCTGCTTGAAGTGAAAGTTTAAAACCACTTTGAAAGTTCTAAAGCTTACTGTTGAGGTGTTTTGATTACAGTATAATCTATGCATACAGATTGACAAATTATTGTCATTTAGAAAGTGGATACCGATAATTTATCTTTCTACCACATGCAGTGATTCCCAGTGAAAATGAATGAATAGATGGGAGGTGTGAAGCAGTAGTACTAAAAGCAAGGAATAAGTTAACACTCTTCTTTCAGATTCTGTATTGCTTAATGTCCCTATATATCCATGTGATGTAGTCCTCTCTGAATTCACAGTGGAAGACATGGTGAGAAAGCCATGGACTACAGTATAGGTAGGCTAGTTTTGATTTCTGGAAATGCTTATACAAGAGTTGATTTTCATTCATATATTTTCCAAGTAAAGGCAGTTTTGAGGTCTAATTGTTAAATGCTTTAATATACCAACCCATTTTTACTTATAGTCAGCACATGTGATTGAAGAATAGCATAATAATTAAAGGATGTATAACTCCAGATATGCAACTCCTCTAGTAGTTTTGAAAATTTATATTGGCATTTGTTTTAATTTTATTTTAACAGATTAATTTTGAGTGTTGAGTAAGTAGTAACTGACATGTGGTCAATATTATATTACTACTAATAAAATGTCAAGGCTTCCTTCTTGTAAGTGGCCAAAATATCAAAAGGAGTAAAAATTATAATAATCCTGTCTAGTATTTTGGTACAAGAGAATTTTGGGAATTTTACTAAATGCTTGTATTTTGAATATAAAGATTTTAAAATTATTTTTAAATTAGGTTCAGAGATTCTGGAAATCTTGTAATCACCCGTGAGATTGATGTCACAAAAAACCAGTCCTCTTGGTTCATCAACAGAAAATCTACAACCCAGAAAGTAGTAGAAGAACAAGTTGCAGCCTTAAATATTCAAGTGGGCAATCTTTGCCAGTTTCTACCTCAGGTATGAGAGAAGTAAATGTAAAGATGAGAGAATTTTATATATACTGTTTACTTTTTATGCCATATAAGGGTGCAGTTCTTTTCAAGGGATATTATGATGACTACCACTTAAATCAAACATAGCACTCTAACACAGACTAATAGTGCTTTGTAAAGGTAGCATTTTGTTACATGAAATATAATGCTATTAATTTGCAGTAATTTAGAAAATTTCAATGAATAAAAAGTTTAAATTAAGAGTATTTTGAAATAAAGTTGTATCATTTTTGAGTATAGAGAGTAGCTTAGACAACTATGTGCTTTCATTTGTAGACCCGTAATATTTTGTTAATGAACAGCTTTTTCGTCTGTGTATTTGTTTGTGTAAAATATTTGATATACTAGAACTCTTAAATCTATAGGTGCTTTCTAAATTTTTGTTATATTTTAAATTTGTTTTTTAAAAATAAAAATCCTGGCTGGGCACAGTGGCTCATGCCTATAATCCTAGCACTTTGGGAGGCCGAGGTGAGAGGTTTGCCTGAGCCTACGGGTTCGAGACCAGCCTGGGCAACTTGGTGAGACCTCGTCTTTACAATAAATAAAAAATTAGCCGGGTATGGTAGCTACCTGGAAGGCTGAGATGGAAGGATTACCTGAGCCCAGCAGGTTGATGCTGGGGTGGCTGTGAGCAGTGGCACTCCAGCCTGAGTAATGGAGTGAGATTCTAACTCAAAAAAAAAAAAAAATCTTAATAACACATGTTAAATGTTAAAGTCCAATAACTTTTCAGTTTGGCTTTGAATGCTATCTAGTAACCAATTTATGGTTATTTATTTTTTTCAGACACACAGTGATAATTTGATTAAATATGACCAAATTAAATAAAAATTTAAAATTGTAAAGTGTTTGCATTTATCAGCTGATGTCAGATTATCTCTAGGAGATACTTGAAGTTGTTTGTTTTTAAACCTAATAATCCAACTGATGGGTTATACTGGTCACTTCTGTCCAAGGGACAACTTTTTCTTTTATTCCCAAATATATACATAAACATTTGAGGCCGGACACGATGGCTCATGCCAATAATCCCAACATTTTGAGAGACTGAGGCAGGAGGATTGCTTGAGCCCAGGATTTCAAGAACAGCTTGGGCAACAGAATTGACTCCTCGTCTCTTTAAAAACAAAACAAAACATAAACATATCAGCCTCAATATGGACATGGACATTTTTCAAGATTATCTAAAAGATGACAACTTATACCCTAAATTGTCTTTATAAATTCAAAGAATAATATATATAAGGTTTATATGAAGATTCACGTCTCAAAGTAAAATCAGTTTTTTTAAATGAGTTTTGTTTTGACAATATCCATTGAGTGAAATACATCCTGAAGATATTTATAGATGATAGTAATTGCTGATATTTCATTTTTGTGTTCTAGGACAAAGTTGGAGAATTTGCTAAACTCAGCAAAATTGAACTCCTTGAAGCTACTGAGAAGTCAATTGGCCCTCCAGAAATGCACAGGTATCACTGTGAACTGAAAAACTTCAGGGAGAAAGAAAAGCAGCTAGAGGTATTTATAAATCTTGTAAACAGATGTTTTCTCTTAAAGTGTAACTGTCTATGCTTGATAATATGTATTTTATAGTAATTAAATGTTATTTTTATTATTATATTTATTCAGAGTGAATGATCAAAGGAGTTATTCTAGACTTTTATAATTATTTTATCCTACTTCACACATTCCTTTGGTCTTTTTACTGTTCCTACATTAAACAATCTAATAACTCCCACATGAAACACTCGCACTACCTATCATCCTCTGAAAGAAAATAAGAATATATTCTATTAGGTTCTAAGTATAATCTCTGTGTTTATTAACTCAAAATACAAAGACTGAATTTTAGTTGTCATCTGTCTCATTTTTTTTTTTTTAATTTTAATTTTAAAATTGTGGGGTACAATTAAGGATTAGGTTTACAAATATGCATCGTTCAGCCACCCTTGTTGATAAGGAGTGTCTCCCTATCTCCCGACAGATACTCGCTACCGTTAGTCCCACCTCCCTTCCCCTCCTTGCCCCTCCCATAGTTTCCCACCACTGTCAGTCCTTTTCTTTTAGTATTATGATAGATGTTCAAGGTCCACTATATGAGTGAGAATATGATACTCAGATCTTTGTTTCTGTGAGAGATCACTCAGTATTATAGACTCTAGTTCCATCCAGATTGCTGTGAAATTCATAATTTTGTTCTTTTTTATGGCTACATAGTGCCATACATATGCATACTCCATCATGCATATGTACCACATTTTTAAAATCCAGTCCACTTTTGATGGACAGCATGGTTGGTTCCAGATCCTTGCTATTGTGAACAATGATGCGATAAACATATGTGTGCAGGTATCTTTTTGATAGAGTGATTTGAGTTCTTTGGGGTATATTCCCAGTAGGGG